TTTATGAGAGCCAGTTGCCAGTTCTCACAGCTCTCTGAGTTTAGTGCATTTTTTTCCTCCAATTTGTATTTGGGGGCTTTGCTATTAGCTTGTTTTCTGATGCATCTCATTTGGTTCTCGCAGGTTTTGAACTTACCTTTCTTCTTTGTCATTATTTTTTCAACTGTCTTTACCTATCAACAATTACATTTTATTACCTAATTTAATTCGGCTTTTGGTACGACCATCTTTTCTTATTTTTTCAACTATGTGCCACTATTTTTATTTAATTATTTTTGTTGAATTAGGTTCCTCAGTGTTTGGTCAGAAACCCGCTTTCGGTGGTTTTGGATCTACTACTCAGACGAGTCCTTTTGGAGCCTCGTTTCAACAATCACAACCGGCTTTTGGGAGCAATGCGTTTGGTTCACCTTCTCCCTTTGGTGCACCAAGTCAACCTGCTTTTGGTGCACAAACGACACCAGCTTTTGGAAGCAGTTCCCCTGCATTTGGTTCTACCTCAAGTCCTGCATTTGGTAGTACCAGTGGAGGTTTTGGTGCGACGAGTTCTCCTTTTGGATCAAGCACACCAGCATTCGGTGCCCTTACAACTCCTGCATTCGGTACCACTACCACTCCTGCATTCGGTGCCACAACGACTCCTGCATTCGGTGCCACGAATACTCCTGCATTCGGTGCCTCGTCTCCGGCTTTTGGAGCTTCAAGTACTCCTTCTTTTAACTTTGGATCCAGTCCAGCATTTGGCCAAGCAACTTCTACATTTGGTAATAATCAATTTGGCACATCAGCATTTGGAGCTCCTCAAACATCTTCATTTGGTAAGCAGGTTTCATCTGTATTATGTTGTAAGATCCCCCAGATCTAGGTCTCATGTGATATATGTGGACCTAATTTTGGAAGAAACTACCGAGGAGGATACTTTTTATTTTTAATTTGATTATGTGGGGGAAATTATGAAAAAATGTCTTACTAATAAGAAAGACTTACGTTCTTTCAATTTCTTATTGTACTATGTTCAATATTATTCATTGAAAATAATTATCATTTGCACTTGAAATATCCTATGAGAAAAAATCTCGTGGATTTTTTTTTACAACTTTACCTGGTTTTTCTCTCAATATTGGACAATCAGGTGTTCTGGATTGCCTCAAGAGTACAGCAGTTTTAGAATTCTATACTAATATTGCTGTTACTGAGTCTTGCCTTTGACACAATACCTTTACAGGAGCACAAACAGCGACTTCTGCTTTTGGTGGCCCAGGTTTTGGCCAGTCTACTTTTGGAGGGCAACGAGGGGGAAGTAGGGTATCTCCTTACTCACCAACAACTGAGACCGATGGTGCCACTGGTACACAGCCAGCTGGTAAACTAGAATCTATTTCAGCCATGCCGGTGTACAAAGATAAAAGCCATGAAGAACTTAGATGGGAGGACTACCAGTTAGGAGATAAAGGTGCTTTTCTTCTTGTAATTTTTGTACATCTTAACCTGAAGAGTTCGTTTCATCTAATGTTGCTAATACATGTCTGTACCTAATACAGGAGGGCCAGCTCCTGCCAGTCAGGCTACTTCAATTGGTGGCTTTGGTAGTACAGGCTTTGGCTCAACGACTTCTGCATTTGGTCAAACCGCAGCAAATCCTTTCTCCTCTTCAGCATCCTCTAACCCTTTCGCTCCAAAAACCCCAGCATTTAGTAGCTCTGGTTTTGGACCTTCACCTACCTCTCCATTTAGTTCTTCAGCCTTTGGGCAATCCAGTACATCTAATATTTTTGGTTCAACATCGTCTGCTACACCCTCCTTATTTGGTTCGACTCAATCATTTGGAGTGAATACATCCTCTTCTCTTTTTAGCTCATCAAGCGCATCTGGCTTTGCATCACCATCTATTTTCGGTCCCTCATCAGCACAGGGAGCTACATCAGCATTTGGTACCAGCTTGGGTAACACTCAGTCGTCCCCATTATTCCAGTCGACTACACCTACCCTCTCGCAGGCTATTTCTCCCTTTGGACAAACTTCCTCTGCCTTCGGCCAAACTGGACCAGGAATTTTTAGCACACCCTCCACTGGCTTTGCTAGCAATTTGTTCTCCAGTACTCCATCATTAATTAGTAACAATAACACCCTGGGTTTTGGTCAAACAAATGTGAGTATTCATGGACTGAAATGACTTATTGGCCTTTTAGCTATTTTGTTCAATTCTGTTAACAATTTATTAACTGAAATGACTAATTGGCCTTTTAGCTATATTGTTCATTTCTTTTAACAATTTATTATTCCTTGTATTCTCTCTTAGCATGCTTCTACCTCAACTAATTACTCTCATTGCTTATAATTGAAGCCCTCTCTGGCAATGCCATTTCAACCTGCACAACCGGCTATTAATTCTGGTGGTTTTAACTTTACCAACTTTGGTCAGTCACAATCAGGTTAATCAGAAATGAGCTCTTACCATCGTCCCTGACTATGCCATTTTGTTGTTTCTCTACCTGAGGATCAATTATTGGTTACCATTTTGTTTAATGTTTCACATGTTTGCAGCCACGACAACTGGCATTGGTGGCGCTTCTGGCATCTTTAACAATGGTACATTTGGACAATTGTAAGTTACTTGCTTTCATGTTTCTTCAATTTATGTTCATACCATATATTACATTGTTGGTTGTGAGGAGTGGAACTTTGGGTATACATAATTAAAAATCTTGCTCTACTATGTCAATCTTGGTTTGTTTCTTGATTAGGTCGTCACCTCTTGTGAAGCCTGTTAAACTTAGAGACATGTCACTGTTTCTTTTCAACATCCATCTTATAGCTGTTTATCACTGTAAAATTATGAGGAAAAGTAAACACTGTATTCTTGGACGGTTTTGTGATTGTTTCATTGCTAAATCCCTCCAGAATAGTGTATTTTGTTGATTTAGAGCTTTTTTAACCATTATCCATCTACAATGTCCTTTCCATTTTAAAGATTCTCTTGGACTTGATTTGAGTTCTTTGTATAGTTGGCATGATTCCACCTTCTATGCATTTTCTAGACTGGCCTAAAAGTACGCATTTAATGCTTCATTATGCATAAGTTGAAGACGCAGAAGAAGGATATAAATAGATCTTAACTTTGTAATTTTGGTTCTTGGAATGATTAGAAATTTTAAAACTTGGAGCATGTAATGTATAATCCTTTTCTTTATTATTTCTGACAAAGATATTATGAGAATACATGATTTGATTCTAAAAGAAAGTAGATGAGATTGTTGTCAACCACTCAACTTGTTCTCATTAACTGGTGACTCTGCTGTATCAATTAGCTATAAAGTTGAGAAATTACAAATGGCAATTGCAGAAAAAGTTTTGCTATCCTAATTTCAATACTTGTTTGGACCTATACAGAAGAATTTTACTTTCATAAAGTTTTTGATGTAATTTGCAATCCAAAATGACAAAATTTTTATTTTTTTTTGGCAATTATTTTACAGGCCAGCTACTCAGAGTTCGGTTGCTGTCCAAGCAGCCCCCATTACAAACCCATTTGGAACTTTGCCAGCAATGCCTCAGATTTCAATCAGCCGTGCAGGCACTTCTTCTATTCAGTATGGAATTTCCAGCTTGCCAGTAAGGGTCATCTATTTGATCAAATAATTTAAATATCTGGCATATTAATCTTCAGGGTGTTGTTTTTTCACAATGTTACAGAACTTGACCAATCATCCGTTGTTCATACAGAGAAACACATTATCTCACTGTCACTTTGTTACAGGTTGTTGAAAAACCAGCGCCTGTGAAACTATCATCACTTTTGACATCCCGACACCTTTCTCAAAGGCGGCTTAGGATGCCTGTGAGGAAATATAACCCTAGAATCGATGGCCCAAAGGTGAGTGATCAATATTCCCTCAGTGATGTTTTATAATGTATCAAACATTTTTGTTCAGAATACTTTGTTGGCCAGACTGCTACAATCATGTAATTATTCTCTTTAGGTGGCATTTTTTAATGATGATGAAGAAACACCCAGCACACCAAAAGCAGACGCTCTTTTTGTTCCCAGGGAGAATCCAAGAGCTCTAGTCATTCGTCCGTTGGAACCACGGCATTCCAGATCGAGCACTGAGAAAACTATGGCCGCTGGCACCCTTGTGCATGTGAATGGTAGACTTTCTTCACCTGATTGCTGGATTTTGTTCTTTTTCAGTTCTTATATCAATTAGTTTTGGAAGTAGCTGAATACATATTGGGCCCCACTTGTCTTCTGCTCGTTTCTTTGTTATCCTGGCTTTTTGGTATTTCTTTTAACATGGGTGCATTTACTCCCTTAGGGGGTGATTGTTTATGGATTCATATAGTTTTTATTTGGTTTGTTTTTTAATTATAATTAATTTTGAAAAAAGGCAGTATGGTTAGTTGCTAGTGGATATATTAAAATAATATTTAAATAAAATAATTAAAGTTGATTTGATGTAAAGTAGGAGAAAAATGACTGGAAGTGATGGTTAGATAAAATTATGTGAGTGGATGAATAGTGAATTAAAGTTGATGTGATGTGTAAGAATGATTAGTTGATATTATTTAATTATATTAATAATATTAAGATAGTGGGGTTGTGTTAAAGTTGAGTTAAATTTGAGTTTTGATTGATTTTTTTTTAGTTGAATCCATAAACAATCACCCATAGCCGAAGTTATCTGTTAGTGGTGTTCTATATTGGATGAACGGACTGAATGGGCTTGCGGGCAGAATTATATCTCAAATCCCATTCAGCAGAATACTATTTCAAAGTTTACTGGCTCTGGACTACTCCAGTTAATTTAGATAAGATTAGAGTAGTCTGCACCGCTTTACCTCATACTATTTCATTTTCCTGGTGCTGCTTCCCTTGGGTTCACTGGGTTGTTGTTTTGATGTTTGTGTGGCTTTCCCTGTTACTCGAACTAATGTAACCTTGTTTGGTTTTGAATGAGCAGGTAAAGTTGCACAAGATGCATACCAGTCTGTAAACGGGTACCAAACAAAGGACAAAGATGGTGAGTGCTTATTTTATGTGGAAATTGCTATTACCTTGCATAAATTGTACATTTCCGATGAGGCTCTCGGTAGTTTATTTTATATTTATGTTCTTACTCACGGTTAGATAAACTTGTCTTTTCCTTGCAAACCTTAGCTTGTTAAACCGAATAACTCTCATTCACACATTGCCTGTAGTTTCAGACAATATAAATATTTTAGATTAGTATGGTCGATACATAAATTTTTTAGATTAGTATTTTTAGTTTCCTCTTTCTTGCAAAATGTGACGATCTCGAATTATCTGTTTGCCATTCAGCCTCGGAGGACCCAATCCCGAACGGCGAAGACAACGCGAAACCAAAATCCAACGGGACCCACATCGAGACCACCGAGAAAGGCGGCGACTCATACATCACCTTGACCGGCCACCGAGCTGGCGAGGCAGCTATAGCATACGAACACGGTGCAGACGTCGAAGCCTTGATGCCGAAGCTCCGACACTCGGACTACTTCACTGAGCCACGCGTGCAGGAGCTGGCAGCCAAGGAACGGGCCGAACCGGGCTTCTGTCGCCACGTGCGCGACTTTGTGGTGGGACGGCACAACTATGGCAGCATCAAGTTCTTTGGGGAGACTGACGTTAGGCGGCTCGACCTCGAGTCCCTCGTCCAGTTCAACAATCGAGAGGTAATTGTTTACATGGACGAGAGCAAGAAGCCGGCCGTGGGACAAGGGCTGAACAAAGCGGCTGAGGTGACGCTTCTTAATATTAAGTGCTTTGACAAGAAGACGGGCCAGCAGGTGACGGATGGGCCGAGAATTGAAAAGTATAGGGAGATGTTGAGGAAGAAGGCGGAGGATCAAGGGGCTGAGTTTGTGTCGTATGATGCGGTCAAAGGGGAGTGGAAGTTCAAGGTTGACCATTTTAGCGGGTATAGGCTCGGGGAAGAGGATGACGAGATATGATTGGTCTGGTCTGATGATGTGCGTGTGTATCGATTNTGCCAGCTTGCTGGTTTCAACTTTTTTATTTTTGGTTTTTGTTTTTTGTTTGGTGTGTAAAAATTCACGCGTCGTGGTTGGTTTTATTTAGTGTAAGTTTGCTCGCTCGTTTCTCTGTCGTTGGTTTGTTTTTTGTTAATTGATCGAATTGTTTTACTGGGTGCTTGGCATCAACTCCTGTAATTTTTTTAGTTGGAAAAAATTTAGATTCTGCGTCATTAAGGTAATTGTTATTATCGAGCATTATTTTGTTTGGATCGTTTTGTAGTTTTTTATTGTATTTATTGTAGTGTCAGTGTCGTTTGAGTTATTTTTTTAGTGTTGCTAGTTTAGGATTTAGGTGATCTTTGGATTGTCCTCCCAGTTTTAGGCCTTTGGTTGTATTTATCTAACTGTTGGCTGCTTTTTTTTCGCACTTTGTGCGATTTTAGCTATATATTACCTCTTGAAAAAGTAATTGCTATTATTCGTGTTGAGGACTAGTCTTGTGTGGAGACTGTGTCGGCTATCTTTCACACTTTGGGGTTGCGTTGGGAATTCGATGTTTTACTTTTGAGTGTCGTTTGAATGTCATTTGGTTTCTACTTATTCTTTAGTTACCTATAAATTTCTTAATATTGTTGGCTTTTCCAGTGATACTTCCATGCATATATTTATTTTTAAAATAAACAAAATAAAATAATAAAGTAGAAGACTAATAAACAAAATAAAATGATAAATTAATTATTAAAAGACTAACTAAATTAATAGATAAAACATCTCAACACTTCAACTTACACAAACACACACACACACACACACCCCTATATATATATAATAAAACTAAATAAATAATAAAATGAATAAAACATATATAACACTTCATTTTTTTTTAAGAAATAATTTCAAAGATAAAACATAAACACACCAACAAAAATTATACTAAACCCAAATAAATAATAAAATTGAGTATGTGTGTATCACCTAATTTTGAAAAAGAAAATATTAAAATTTTAATTGTTTTGAATTATAAAAATTGACTTTTATCACCACAAAATAAAATAAATGATAAATTAGTTTAGTTTTTTAAAATGTTGAAAGTATAATTAATAAAAAAATATTAAAATTTTAGTTGCAACATATATTAATTCTTTCGAATTTAACATACAAATAATAAAATAAATAATATTTACAGCGGCTTTTTCCCCATCTTTTGGTTGTTTCTCATGATATTTGATGATATGTCTGTCAAAATACCTTTTTAGATTTTAACAGTGGGGTTACATGTTATGGCCATGTCATCCCAATATTCCAATTGGACGGACGAAATAATAAACAGTAGGGTTAATGATGTTATGGCCATGTCATCACAATATTCCCACTTGAGGATATAATATAAAGACGGTGTCTATCCAAACATCATTTCGGGAAAAAGGGTGAGATGGAATAATAAACCCTATTCAATATAGTTTTATTGGCATGGTGATCGGTCTGATTTTAAACCCTGCTAAAGACAAACTCCAACAACATATGCATACATGCGCACCAGGAACACTCTAATTGACCTTACATGACAACACAATGAGGAGGCAAATAGCACAATTATTTTCTACAATCGTTGTTTACAAACACAACAGTGTCCGCGTGTTAGGCCTCATTGTTTTATTACCCAAAGTTTCAACCCACATTAAGTCTAGATCGTTGCATTTTGCTTTTCAGAGAGCAATCGGGATTTACTAGGTGCAAAATACATAATAAAAATAAACAAAAACCGCATTTCCAATTCAAGACAATATGCTCGTCCTGTACAAATGCCATTGAAGATCACAAACCATTCTCTCAAAGCTCGTCTCAGTTTTACTATCCAAAATGCAGGATAGCTCAGCGGCCTGTTTTGTAAATATATACCAAATAGCGGCTGGCGTACCATGGTGCTTTGTAAGTGCTTCCAGAAAAAGGACACCACTCTGAATAAGAGACATACGACTAGAGAAAAAAGGAAAGAAATTCGCTGTTTGAGAAGATCTGGAGAGCATACATACCATCAACATATCATCAATGTACGACTTTCCTAGGAAGGTAAAGCAGTTACTTGTATATCCACTCCTTTGCGCGACCACCAGACTCATCCATATCTATAAAAATGCTTACTGCCTGAAACAAGAACCACAAATACTTGATTATCAGAATTGACCAAACTAAACTAAATTTCTAATGTTCCAAAGTTGCTCATCATCACGAGCACAAGTCCAGAATATTAAATAAAATAATCCAACCTTCTCTATGGTGTTCCTATCGATTAATGAACATAAGACCAGAAACAAATGATTGCCAATATATCGTCCTTCTGTAAACTACAAAAACATTATTCTAGATGTGACATACGCCTAACGATCTTCACACATCAATCAATATGTTTCTCAAATCAGCATGTATAACACCGATAATCAAGTAACATTTAATTTACTAGGTCATGACCAAATTTATTGATCAATGCACCGATTTTTTTATTTAAAGAACCATTTAGGCTGTAAACCTAGCTGATAGCTGATAAGCTAGTTGATGTTTATTAAAGATGTTTGGCAAAAATAGCTGATAAGCTAGTTAAAAAATATTATTACTTAAAATCTATCTAAAAGTATATAGTTAGATTAGTAATATTTATAAAAAAAATTATTAATATGAATATTATTATTTCCATTGATTATTATAAAAAAAATAAACATACAATTTTCAATAAAAAAGAACACTAATTAATAATAGCTTATAAGCTAGTTAAAAAATAGAATTACTTAAAATTTTAAAGTACATGTTTAGCTTAATAATATTTATAAAAAAATTATTAATATGATCATTATTATTTCCATTGAATATAAAAAAGAAATAAGCACACAATTTTCAATACAAAGAAACACCAACTAAAATTCACTTAAGAAAGATAAATATTTTTGTTAAAAAGAAATAAATCATACACCTATATTGTTGCACTCCAAATCATCTTTGCAATATCATTGCGAATATTTTTCATCACATTGTTGGTTTCTCTTGAATTCTCGTAGCCAAGATGTGAATCAGATTCATTTTGTAGTTCATCATTGGGTTTGTACTTTGGAAGCTTCTCAAGCACTCCAAACATCAAATCATCATCTGATCCGATTGAAAATATGCAATGCAAATGCCGCCATTTTCACATCAATCTGTGTCTGAACACTAAACTTAGGCATTTTACTTGGTATTTTCCATCTCTTTTTCAATACTCTAAATGATCCTTCGCTGCAACTTCGAAGAGATGAATGAGCTCGATTGAATGCTTCTTCTGAATTATTTGGGAACTCATGTTGGAATTCAGACTGATGGTATCTTATCCTTGGATATGACACTAAATATCCTTTTCGGTTTGAATATCTCTTATCAACTAAATAATATCGACTTGTTAAAAATAATATAATTTAAATTAAGAGGACATATATAATATTTATTATGACACAATTACTAGAAAAAAAAAATATAAACTACCTTCAGTAGGAGGTTTCGGGAAGTTCATAGATGATGTCCAGGCCTGGCCAAGGGCCAAGGCAAGCTAGGCAATGGCCCAGGGCCCATTTACAAAATGGGGCCTCATAATTACTATTATTTATAGTATATTAAAAATCATTTTAATAAGGCCCAACCAATTGAAAAAAAATCATTTCCTCATTTTCTGGGCCAAGAGCAATAAATAATACAATGTCCCCAATAGCTGCCACCTTTGAAGTTGAATTGAAATGACAAAAGTCTTATTCCTACTCACTTTTATACATTTTGACAAATAAGACTTCTTTTTTTCCCTTCCATTAAATTTCATTTCTAATAATAATAATAATAATAATAATAATAATAATAATAATAATAATAATAATAATAATAATAATAATAATAAGTGATTATTGAATATAAAATATTATTTTGTTCATTTTGGCCCTCGTTCACCTTTGGTCATTCTCGATTTTGTTTTTCTTTTATAATTTTATAGCTTAAATTATCAGCACTATTTCTAGTTACTTTCAAGAGTACCCAAAATCAAGTTGAGTTTCAATTTTCATTTATATTCCTTTTCAATTGATGCCGCATACATACTTTATTATAATCGTCGTCGTCGTTATCATCATTATTAATACTATTTTGTTAGTAAGAGATGAATTTGCAATGTTCTAAGATTTTAGTAGATTGAATGTAGATTGTGTGCATTATATTTATATTTTTGGACTCTGACTTGTTAACTTTGGGGATTAGATGTAGATGGCTCTTTTACATGTGTAACACACTTTCTGTTTTTTTTTTGTTGTAAAATTACGATATTCAAATTAAAATCATATATAAACGAATTATCCAAAAAAGAAAAAAAGAATAATGATATACATAAAAACATATTAAAAAATAAAATACAAATCAATCACTTATGTATAGTGAAAGTTGATTTACTTACAAATAAAAAGAAAAATTATATAAATTTACTAATACAAACATTGTAGGTGTTTTAATTTTCTCAATGTAGATTGGGGGCATTAATTATATATTTGGACCATGGCCAAAAATTATACCGGACCGGCTCTGATGACGTCTCGATTGCTCCATCCCACCCAACCGATATAAATGTAAAACACATGTCGAAGTTACATGAGACCATGATATTGAAAGTAGGGATTCCTTTTCTTCCTCTATAGCGCAATCTCTTTCTCTGGAATACATGCTCTAATATGCGTATCATCAATACATCCTATGCAATTCTGCATACATATGAAATTCGTTAGAGTTTATGACAAAAAGGAAAATTACAATCAAATAACTGGTATTCTTGTAATTTGTAAAAGATTTATTACCTTGACATATATCTAGGATTATAAGATATATGAGGTGGTATGAATTGAAAAGTTGGATCCTTGGGTTTAATAACATCACATGCAAGACCTTTTCTACTTATTGATTCTAAAACCTCATGAAATGCTCTGCTAATTGCTTCTCCTGAGAGTCACTAGATCCCTATTAGAAACTCCCAAGACAATGATATATACAAATATACCAACCTTCTCATGAACTGACATTCTATCATTTGCTTTTAAACCATACTTGTCTTTCAGTTCTTCATATAGTCGATAATACACTTAAAACTCATTCTAAAAGCACACATCAAATTGGATCCGGTTTTCTCATCCAAATCTCTCCTGTTTGACAAGACGTCATGCATGTTTCATTATAAATATGACTATAGAAATAGTACGTAACTACCGAACTTGTTTGAAAACTACTCAATTCCAATAGTAAAAGAATTTTCTTCCTTTGATTATCGTCCATCCATTGTGTAACTATTAATCATACCANAAAAAAAAAAAAAAGTAATAATGTGAAATTCACATAATGGGTCCAAAAAACACATAAGCTATAAAATGTCTAAAAATTTATATTTGTATTAAAACTAGAAGCACATATAACATAAAATCAATTCACCAGCTTCTATAGTTTAAAAAATGTTTTAGGCATGCATAAACTTCAACCAAGAAAGCCTAGCACCATCACTTTCCATCTTTAGAAACATTTCTCGATTCACGGAATCCCGAAGCACGCAAATCGAATGGCACCATAGGTCACCACCTTCATCCATCCCACCCCAAACCTTTTATAATATCCATTACTGATTATATAATTGCTCAATTTGCATTGTCATTGTCTTTGGGTACCTTGTTTCAACAATCCAAGAATGTAACTCACTTACTTGGTCTAAGTGATGGTTAATCATTACAGATCCAGCTAATTGTCTCCTTTTGCGCTTCAACTCTAGAGGTCATTAGGGTCGGTTTACTTGATTGAGTACTTTTAAGACAATATTAGGAGCTGTATTGGCATGAATTGGTGGATGATCTGGATCATTACCATTCACTATAGCCACAAAATCATACCAAGAACCGTTCTCTTCTTGTTCCAAACCTTCTAACCGAGAAGAGTACTGAAAAAATATTGAATAAGCATCACTTCCATCCACTAAATTCACATCCCCTCATTGTCTTCATCATCATCTATGTTCACAGGCTCTTTATTGTTCAAAAATTCATGAATGGCGGAAGGTGCTACACAACCTAACCCAATAGCAACCGTGTCTCCAAATAGATGATCCCACTGTTCTTCAAGAGGAGGCGATATTGCCTTATTACGAAACTTCTTCGCTTTTTCACTAAGCTCAAGTGTTAAAGTTTTAAATACATATTGAGCATTTAAAAACTTATTTCTATTATTCAAGAGAAGCCTGAAGCGAAGAAGTTTCGTAATAAGGCAATACCTCATTCTCTTAAAGAACAGTGAGATCATCTATTTGGAGACACAATTGCTACAGGGTTAGATTGTGTAGCACCTTCCGCCATTTATGAATCTTTGAATAATAAAGAGCTTGTGAACATAGATGATGATGAAGACAATGAGGAGATATAATTTTGTGGATGGAAGTGATGCTTATTCAGTATTTTCTCAGTACTCTTCTCGGTTAGAAGGCTTGGAACAAGAAGAGAACGGTTTTTGGTATGATTTTGTGGCTATAGTGAATGGTAATGATCCTGATCATCCACCAATTCATGCCAACACAACTCCTAATATTGTCTCAAAAGTACTCAATCAAGTAAACCGACCCCAATGTCCAGTAGAGTCAAAGAGTTGAAGCTCATAAGGAGATAATCAGCTGGATCTGTAATGATTAAACATCACTTAGACCAAGTAAGTGAGTTACATTCTAATGTTCTTGGATTGTTGAAACAAGGTACGCCCAAAGACAATGACAATGCAAATAGAGCAAATGTACAATCAGTAATGGATTTTATGAAAAGTTTGGGAGCTAATGGTGGGATGGATGAGGGTGGTGACCTATGGTGCCAGTCAATTTGCGTGCTTCGGGATTCCGTGAATCGAGAAATGTTTATAAAGATGGACTATGATGGTTCTAGGCTTTCTTAGTTGAATTTTATGCATGCCACGAACAATTTTTTAATTGTATAAATAACTGGTGAATTGATTTTATCTTATACGTGTTTCTAGTTTTATTACAAATATAAATTTTTAGACATTTTATAACTTATGTGTTTTTTGGACCCATTATGTGAATTTCGCATTATTTTTTTTATTTTATTTTTTTTACTATTCTCTTAATTTTTGGAAATCTTATGTTCATAAAAATGTTTCTTTTATTTTATGATTAATACGTACACAATGGACGATGATCAAAGAAAGAAAATTCTTTTACTATTGGAATTGAGTAGTCTTCAAACAAGTTCGGTAGTTGCGTACTATTTCTATAGTCATATCTATAAAGAACCATGCATGACGTCTTGTCAAACAGGAGAAATTTTGATAAGGTAATCGGACATCCAATTCGATGTGTTAATGCTTTTAGAATGAGTTCAAGTGTATTTATGCGACTGTGTGAAGGCTTGAAAGACAAGTATGGTTTAAAAGCCAAGTGATAGAATGTCAGTTCATGAGAAGGTTGGTATATTTGTATATATCATTGCCTTGGAATTTTTAATAAGGGATGCTAGTTAGAGATTTCAATGCTCAGGAGAATCAATTAGCAGAGCATTTCATGAGGTTTTAGAATCAATAAGTAGAAGATGCAGACAATATAAAAGTCTTGCACGCGATGTTATTAAACCCAAGTATCCAACTTTTCAATTCATACCACCTCACATATATATCTAATGATCCTAGACATATGCTATACTTCAAGGTAATAAATCTTTTACAAATTACAAGAGTACTAATTACTTGATTGTAATTTTTTTTTTTGTCATAGACACTAACGATTTTCATATGTATGCAGGATTGCATAAGCTGTATTGATCGTACGTATTTGAAGCATGTATTCCGGAGAATAAGCAATTGCGCTATAGAAGAAAAAAACGAATCCCTACTTTCAATGTCATGGCTCATGTGAGTTCGGCATGTGTTTTACATTTATATCCGTTGGGTGGGAAGGATCAGCACATGATACACGTGTCTTTCTTCATGCAATCGAGACATCAACCATGAACTTCCCGAAACCTCCTGAAGGTAGTTTATATATTTTTTTTTCTAATAATTGTGTCAATCGACGACATTTACAATATAAAATTGTAACAAAAGTTAATATGAACGAAAATTTTTAGAATAAAATAAGCTATAATATAATGCAGAAAAATAAGAATAATCATTTACCTACAACAAAAATAGACATAGTATTAAAATCTTATTTATATGAATAAAAATGGACTAGGGCAAGCGATGGAAAAAAAACCCAAATTTAAATAAGCCGGCAAATAGAGGATCTAACCCTATGATTTTCTGGGCTACTTTAGGGCCGCCGCTTGTTTAATATCTCTACCTATCTACTCTCTCCAAGCTGGAATAGAAAAGCACAACTAAAAAAGGAATACTCCAAACAATAAATACTTCTTTTTTCATTACTACATGGTGCATCAAAGTTTCTTGGATACAGTATCTACCTTGTATTACTTTACATGGTGCAACATATCAGAGAACGATAAAAACATTATCCAGAACCAGCACACTTTGTTGTTGAAGATAACAAGGAACTTAGCATGAAGTAGAAAGGAACATACTCTAAGAACTATTCGTCTTTAAAACTTATTTACTTTTGGTGGAACAGAAACATGGAAGTAGTTATTTAGTTAGGCATGGCATGCTTAACAATGTCAAGTTTAAGATCAAAAGCCAAGAGCTAACCTTTCCAATCCGAGGTCGTTCTTTTGACTTCTCAAGAGTGCTCCTTACATGTGAGACAGCTCCCCAACATTTCAAAGCATTTGCCACATCATCAAGCCTCAAAATATATTCTTCTTCAGTCAGTGGAAAAGATCTCTAAGAAAGCAAAAGGAAAACACGGCGAAGATGAAGACAACAATGAAAGCAAACTCAAACTTTATTCAAAGCAATAACAACCTTTCTAACTTGATCAAATGAGAAAACAACTAACCTGCTCCATGTACTTCCACATGACATTCATCGCAAGTAGATTTCTGCCCATGAACTCCTACGGTACAATTAAACTCAAATTATAGCTCATGCTCTTAATTGCAAATTATATACAATGCACACAGATAAAAGACACAAAAATCATGAATTTGTACGAAAATTTATTGTTGAGCTTCCAGTCCCTTGCAGACCATACAATCCTTAGTTATACATGAAAAGTGACTTCACTCACCTTCTTGATTAATTGAACATCATACGACCTCCCATATTTATTCCGTATAAGAGTTGCAAGATCTAATCCGCTGAAACTGGAGTCATCCGTCCCAACAATTTTTTCAAGCTTTTCCCTAATCATGTCACTGTTAACCTGAAAAACCAGAACTTAGGATGTGTTTTCCAGATAGCCTTTGATGGCTCAGTAAGAAAACTAATATGCATGCATACTCAATTTCCCATCATCCCAGAAAGGTACTATATTAGCGTCCACTTGTTACCAGACCATAAGTACCAGAGGCATACAAAAAGGCAAACACAAAATAGCAATTGCACAGTTACTTATCAATTGTATTCTACATAACTAAGTAGCTTCATCATTTGCATCAAGATGGCCCTAAGAACATTTAAACAATTCGGCACGCCGACTTCAACATCAATTCCAGAAAACCAACCAAGCAGTCAATCATTGATACATAAAAAGGTAATAGTAAATCAGTGAATAATTTGACACCGAAAGCTAAACTTATTCAAATTTGAAATTGCAAACTGAAAGGCAGAGTGCAGAGAATGGCGGGAGTCAACTAACTGGGCCGCTTCCGCTTTCTACAAAATCATCCTCCGAGTCATCATCTCCTCGAACCCTATCAAATTTAGCAGATAAAACCACCCAGCGGGAATCGTCAAAGGGCCTCCGCCTTACAACGCGGGAACGAATAAGATTATCCGAGTTCGAACACACAAAACAGAGAATTCTGCTGCAATCGGTTACTTTGTGAAGATGATGACCAAAACTGTCGCCGGCTGCCAGCAAACGTGTCGGAGGATAGCTCGCGAGGATACTCGTCATCTCCGGAAGTTGAATAATCACAACCTTTTGATGTGCTCTTCTGCAATCAAAATTAAAAGGGAACAGGAGAGAGCCAGCCAATGAGTGGACAAATAAGGACCTCACAAATTCACAATATTGCTCTAAATTAGTTAATTAAACAAATCCTTATAAAGAAGCAAAACCAAAAATCTCAAATACGATTATGGGATATTCATTTAGTGCCGTTTCTTTGGTTAAACTAGTGTCTACCTATCCAGGATGCACTAATGATAAATATTACAAATTGAAACAGTGAATTAATAATGATAAATATATAAAAAAGTTGAATTTTAATATTAATTTTTATATTTTTTAATATTTATGATATGTAATAGTTTATTATATGGTTTTTATGTTTATATCACTCATTATAAAATAATTGTCATTTTAGAGTTTTTGTTATTAACTAAAAAACTAGAAAATTTAACATATTCAAATATTATCAATAAATATTACTACTTCCTATACTTTTTAAATGTCATTTTGGCTTTATCGACTATTATCTAAATAAATGTCGTTTTGATCTTTTGTACATATTTTTCCATTATTACCCCCATTTAACTAATAAATACACTACGTCTTTTCATATTCACTCTTCATTTTTTCCCAAAACATCATTCTCTATCTTCCCAAAAAAAAATATCCTTAATTACTGTGCAATTTCTTAAAACGACACTTATTATGAATAAGAAGGAGTACTTATTAACATTGCATATTATAAGTATTATAATTTTTCTTTCGAAACTTATAATTTATATGGGAGTTCAACGGATGTCTTGTTGGTTTATCATAGTTTATAACAATACATATTATAAATATTTTGATTCTTTATAATCTAATAATTAACCTGACAGTTCAACAAATGACAATTGATTTATCATATTAATTTCTATATCATTCATCCTCGAAATAATTGTCTTTTATATTTTTGTAATTTTTTGGCATTAATTTGTTATACCGTGAGAGAGAAACATATCAATTATTATCTTAAATTAATTTATACTAAAAATAGTTTATTATAAATAGATTTATCTTTACTAGTACAGTCCCGTGCGATGCACGGGGGTTTATTATCTCCGTCCCTTTTATAAAGCAATGTTCAGTTAAAATTCAAAGTACTTACTAAAGGAAAGATCATGTCATTAATAATAAATAAATTAATAAATACAATGATAATAAAATCTATATATTATTGAACACTTCCTTATATACAACGTTCATGGTTTGATTCTTTGGCACGTCATCGTCGCCGCAAATTAGGACTTTCAAACCCATTTCTGTTTGTGACACGGGAGACAGCAACATACAATTGACCATGACTAAACACTGGTTTCTTAAGAAAGAAACCCACATGCGATAATGATTGTTCCTGACTCTTGTTTAGTCATGTTGTAAGAAAACATAATGGGAAACAATTAATCCAATAACATCTACAAAAATATAAGAAAATGCATCATATTGAAATGTATAACATATAAAATAGTTTATTACAGATTTTAAATTAAAAAAATCGAAATAAGAAATAAACAAAAAAATTAAAATGTACCAAACAACATGACTTCATCAATATTACGAACATCCATTAAAGTTAAAAATAGAGAAATCACCCCTCCATTTGATAAATCACCTCTCCATTTGATAAATCACCCCTCCATTTGATAATCTTGGTTTGACCATTGATAATGATCCTCCTTTTACCTATCGTCGATTTATGGATGCCAGTATTGCTTTTCACTTGATAGTTTGTCAAGATATAAGCGCCACCTTCTTCAATATCACCGATGATTTTTTGGATATTGACAGGTCGAATTATGCCAGTAATTCGTCCTCCCTAAAACATTGCATAATGAATACTTTAATAAATAAATTATAAAAGATGTTGCATAAAATGATGCATTTAAATAATACTAAATGAATGTATTACCTCAAAATCATAAAAGATAATCTCAAGCACATTTCGGTAATTGCGTACGTCTTCAACTTGTTGGAACATCCTAATTATGCGTAGCTTGATTGGTGGCTTATTAGATCTTTTGATATCCTTGATTATTCCAAAATCCGAAGCCATTTTCAATGGTGATGTAAAAGCTTGTAGAAAAAATTGTTTTGTGGGATATATTGAATGTCGAATACTTTTTGTTCAACGTTGGTGATATTTATATAGTCATGTGTATGTGTCATATGTCTAGGAAATAAAAAAATATTTACGTAAGGTTTTTAATATGATCCGATCCGATTTTTTTTATTATGATTATGATTGACTTCTAAAAATATGTGTTATCGGTTTTGTTAAAAAAAAAAATGTGGAACGTGATTTACTTGTGAGGGACAAACCAATATTTAGAAGATTATGTAGCCAAAAATAATGGAGTTTGTTATAATGAAATTTGGTAAGACTTTTTGGATAGATTGAAAAATAATATTTTTATTTTGATCTATTTATTTGGACAAATCCAAAACTTTAATTTACAAAATTATAATCTTTAATTTTTTGAAACGTGTAAAAAATTTTCTAAGATAACTTCTATAAAACAAAATGTGATCAAATCATAATTGATTTTTATGCCTCAATATTCCAAATCAAACTTTACAAATATGGTATGATTATTTACTATTAAAATTTTATTTTTTCAAACGTCTGATTCTCTTAGGTTTATATGAAACAAAGTTCAATCAAATCAAAATTGATTTTTATGGCAACACTAAAACTTTATCAATATGATATGTTTATTTTATTTATTTATTTTTTTCAAATCCACGACTCAAATTTTCGAGAGAGAGAAAAAAAAGGAAACAAAATCTTATCAAACCTTATCAAATTTTTGAGAGAGGAAAAAAAACAAAAAAAAATTGGAAACAAAATCTTATCAAACCTTATCAATAATGAAGATTCGTGTTTCCACGAAAAACTAACAAAATTATGTGGTTACCAAAATCCTATCAAATTAGCTAAGAAAATCCCATTAAATTGGTTAACAAAATTGGAACTCATTTTGTTAGGAAAGATTTACTTAATTTATCTATCTAATTAATATCATATTAACGTGTGGGCCCAGTGATATTAATTTAGTGTAGCATTCATTATCTCAGAATAATTATTTGTTTGATTTACAACATTAATTTGAATGGAAAAAAAATCCGTAATTGTTGAGATATCTCAATTCAAAATCTCAATTTTTTGGCATAAGAATTTTCAAATTTGTTACCAATAAAAATAGATTCCTATGGGATTAATATTTAAAATGTATTAAATTTTGGTATAAGAATTTCCAAATTTGTTACCATAAGAATCTTCAATTTGTTACCATAAGAAACCATAAAAATCTCCTATGGATTGGAGTTTATTAATATTTAATATAACATCCATTATTCTCGGAATAATTTTTTGTTTGATTTAAATCATGAATTTGAAGGGGAAAAAATCCGAAATTGTTAGGATATCTCAATTCAAAATCTCAATTTTTTGGCATAAGAATCTCAATTTGTTACCATAAGAATCCCATAGAAATCTCCTATGGGATTGGAGTTTATCAATAGTTGGTATAACATCCATTATTTTTGGAATAATTTTTTGTTTGATTTAAAACATTAATTTGAATAGAAAAAAAACCCCTAATTGTTGGAATAACTCAATTCAAAATCTCAATTTTTTGGCATAACAATCTTTAAATTTGTTACCAATAAAAGTAGATTCCTATGGATTAATATTTAAAATGAATTAAATTTTGGTATAGGAATCTCCAAATTTGTTACCATAAAAATCTTCAATTTTTTTGGGATACTCAATTAAATTTGTTACCATTAAAATCTCCAAATTTGTTTCCATAAAAAACTCAATTTTTTGGTAGATGTGTTTTGTTCGAAATTTCCATTAATAGTAAGTCAAACTATTTATTTTTTTTAGTCAAGCTTACTATAAAAGTATTTTTCCAACAACCTCTTTATATTACTATAGATTATATTTATAACTTGAGGCTAATTTCTTATTTTAAACCCATATTAAAGAATAAATTCAAGTTCAAATTTGTATATATTATTAGTTAATAAGCTTATTAATACTTTAAAAATAATTATTTTTATTTATACATACAATCTGAGTGTCAAACCAGAAAGCGTAAGATAAAAGTTAATTTAATACTATATCTAAAAAATGTGAAAAATAAAAATACTATTAAGTTATTAAAAAACAAATGAAGTTAATACTTAAAAGAAAATGGAAAATAAAAAAGCAAAAAACTAAATGGAAACTAAATAAACAATCATTGTTAGGAAATTTTCTCATCTGATTCAAAAAAAAAAAAATTCTTTTAAAATTTTTATTTTTTCAAATTTGAAATTATTTTCTTTGGAGTGATTAATCTATATCCATATCTGTTAACTTATGTTTTCAACATAGAATAAAAACCCAGACCTAGTTGAAATGGAATAATTTACTAGAAATTTTGAAAATATTAATATCAAATTATTGACATCACATAACTAAAAAGATAAGAATTAAAAAAGATTATTTAGAATTAAGATAATTTAACAAAATTTTTTTGGAATATTTAATCAATAGTTTCAGGTTAATTATGGATATTACGTTACCTAAAACAAAAATTTTTGGAATATTTTGTGTTGTTTTTGTTCTGTGTTTGTCTTGTTGTGCTTGTTTTGTATTTGTGTTTGTGTTTTAGGTTTGGACGGTTGCCTCGGTGCATCCGGGTGTCAAATTTATTACCCTGTGGGGGTCCGACACTCGGATATTACCCTGTGGGGGTCGTGTGTTGTTGTTGTGTTGTTTGAGTTGTTTTGTTGTATTACCCCTTGGGGGTCGTGTCTAGTTGTTTTAGTTTTGAGTTTCTGTTCTAGCATTTGCTAGCCGGGTTTCTAGGCGGTCTCATGACCTGTCCTCCCACTTTTCAACCTTGGGTTGCTTGTATTTGCACATTTGTGCGCTTTTGTTATATAATATCCTCTATCGTTTTGGAAAAAAAAAAAAA